CTACATCTCCTCCGCTAGGGGTTGCTCGCGTACTGAACGCGGCGAGTGTGCAAGCGAGAAGGAAAATGAGTGGCGTGTCGTTGGATGGATTGGGCAGGGGAAGCAACTGAAAATGAATTTCTTCATTCTGGCTATAATTATGATCCGATCTTATTCAGATTCGGCAGTCTCGTAGATATGGTCATTCTCTACGATACTGAGTTTTTAGTTTTATCGTATCTTTAAAATTGTGCCTGCCACAGATTTTCGTCCTTTAAGGGGGCGGGGCGAAACTTTGAAATTCACTTGTAGCAGTGTAATATCACATGAGTCTGGAAATCAACTTTGGTTGCCCTAGCTTTTATAGTCTCTGAGAGCTAGGCGCTCATCAAGACGGACAGACGGACGGATGGACGGACACGGCTATATCGACTCGGCTATTGATGCTGATCAAGAATATATATACTTTATGGGGTCGGAAACGTTTCCTTCTCTGCGTTTCACACATCCACTTTTACCACAAATACAATATACCCCTTATCAAGGAAATGATTATGTTTGATTACATGGGGGTGGGGGGGTCTTGGACAATGATTACGTTATCATTTTAAAGAGTTTTTTTTATTTAAAGTATTTATTTAAACATTTATTTCGCGCCGATTATTCCGCCAATAAGTACCAAATGCAACCCTATAATAAAGTCGATATACATATTCTACCATTTGTATATCGAAAATCAGCTGTTCGTTGTGAAAGTATGTGATTCAACGGAATCTATTTTAAAATTTCGGCTGTGACATGTGTGCTCTGGTGTTTCACAATGGAATCTGAACTAAATGCACTCTTTCAAACGTTTTTCAAATCATACAAACTGCGCTATCCAGACAAAGGACCGTCAGTTTGCCAAAAAGAAGCAACTGCAATATGGAAAACAGCAAAAAAAGAACAAAAAGAGTTTCACAAATATATAAGTGACTTAATAAAAAGCTATGAAAAGCAGGTGCAAGAAAAAAAAAAATCAAAACTATGTCCTTTTTTATGAATGCTTCAAAGGTATGTACGATATATTTAATCTATTCAATTTGTTTCGCCATGCATAGTGTTTGTGATATATTGTGACTCCAAGCACATGCTTTGCATTCTGGTGGACATATTACTATACATTTTTTAACTATTTACAGAATATATATACTCCTAAAAACGATATTCCTCAATCAGCGATCGATTCTAATGACCATTCCATCGATCTAACGTCTGAAAATAGTAAGTAACTAATAAACAAAAATATTTTAATATTAGTTAACAGACAAACTAAATCACTTAAATACTTTCATATTGTAGATGAAGAGACAAAAACTAATGTCAGCAGCGAAAGAAGCTACCCAAAGCCTGCGCAACAAAAGACAAAGGAAAATATTATATCTTTAACTCAGAAAGCATCTATCCTAGTGCAGGCAAATAATTCCACAATGTCTAGCGAAATCCAAAAGGAGCTTGCGCAAGCAACAAATTGCAGAAGCTCAACATAAATATAGGCAGAATAAAAAAAAAAAATTGTGCAGCCTATTTGAAAAAATTCCAGATGCTCGAAGTCTCTGGAACCAACGATCTACAGCCGGCAGACCCCCGATTGAAGACGATCAACCGTTTCTCCATAAAACTATTTTGGAGATAGCCATGTTTGGAAGTGGAGCTGATGAAAGGAGGCGCACTAACCTCATCAGAAGTGTAAAAACCTTGTCTGATCTCCATGAAGAGCTTAATAAAGAAGGGTTTAATTTGTCCAGAAGCTCAACCTATCTAAAACTATTGCCCAGAAACTCTTCCTCGATTGAAGGAAGACGCCATGTTAGAACGGTACCGGTAAAGCTTTGTCGAGCCCAGGCAGATTATCACAAGCAGCATGTAGATGGATATTTTGCTACAGCATCCATAAAATATCTTGAAAGCATAGCATCTGTTCTCGGCCCTGCTCAAGTTTTTTTTTTGTCAAAAGACGACAAGGCTTGGGTGCCAATCGGTTTGACTGCTGCAAATAAGCAAGCACCTCTGCTCATGCATCTTGAATACAAGGACAAGGTGCCAGATCACGATTGGGTGGTTGCCCCAAGGCATAAACTAATCCCATCAGTTTATGCTGGGGTAATTATAAGTCCTGAAAAAATGGGAGACCCGAAAGCTGTCGGTTATTCTGGCCCCACATTTATCAGCATAAGGAGTGGGAAGCACTCGTCATCTACCGCAGAAACTCATGCCAAAGATTTCGACAGTATTATTAAGCTAGAGTCCTTTCAATCAATAACAAAGACCGATAAAGGACGAGTCAAGCCTGTGGTTATAATAACTTCCGATGGTGGCCCTGATGAAAATCCCAGATATGGGAAGGTTATTTCCCATGCAGTACAACATTTTAAGGCATACAATTTGGATGCAATTTTTGTTGCCACAAACGCTCCAGGTAACATGTTTTTCTATGTCTAAACTAAATTGTTTTATAAATTCCATTTTTATTTCAGGAAGAAGTGCTTTTAACCGAGTAGAAAGGAGAATGGCCCCATTAAGCCGGGAGTTGTCTGGGTTTTGCCGCATGATAAGTACGGAAGCCATTTGGATAACCAAGGCAAAACAACAGACTTCGACTTGGAGGAAAAAAATTTTGAATTCGCTGGGAGAACATTGGCCGAAGTCTGGGGCAACCTGGTCCTCGATAACTTTCCTGTGACTGCAGAATATGTTGCACCTAACGAAGAAGAGGCAGAACTGGATGACATTGATCAGTACTGGTATCAAGAACATGTTCGAGAAAGCCAATACTTTCTGCAAATTGTTAAATGCCGTTCCGAAAAATGTTGTGGTGAATTTAGAAGTGGATTACTTCAAATTCTACCAGATAGATTTTTCCCCCCTCCTGTACGTGTTATTCAGGGTGTCTCAGAATTAATTGTTTCCGAGGACAACGAGAAGGGAAATTTTCTGGACCTAATGCAACGCAGAGCTCTCGTGATATCAATAAATGATCAAAACAAATATCTGCAGGTAAGGAATTACTACATTTTATTTATTGAATATGCTAATATCACAGTCTCCACTTTCTTTCTAGATTCCCTACGACTTGTATTGTTCGTCGGTACAAAACCAACTTAAAAAGCGCATATGTAAGACGTGTGGTTTGTATTTTGCATCCCAAAAATCAGCAAATCTGCATGCAAAAATCCATAAAAATGTATTTTCAAACTTGGATTGCAAAGCAAAGAAAAATCTTTATCGTGTGGCTGGGCGGCGAAAGGGAGAATGTCTAGTGGTTCAATCACACGAAGGATGCGAACACCTCGAATGGCTTGACGAAGAGTATGTCCGAGATGATATCAGCGCAGATGTACAGAATTTGACATGCCAAATTCCAATAATAAATAATATTAAAGATTGGATTGCATCTCCGTTTGAATCCACAGATTAAAGCAACAAATTTGTTTATATATTTTTTTTTTTCTTGTGATTACGTAATCATGGGGGGGGGGGTCAAAAATCATCGAAAACGTGATTACGTAATATATGGACAGCCCCTTTCGGAAAATAAGAATTGATAAATATTTTGTCGTGCCTGTGTGTACACATATACATTTGCAATTCTCGGCATGCTTTCGCATCTCGTCATGAATCGAACATGTCGAAAAAAGGCCGAACGTCTCAGGCCCACGAACCGAACGTCTCAGCACCACAGCCGAATGGTCACAGAAAACTCAGTTCCGACACGTTCGGTGTATGAACTGGCACATCTATATACTGTATGGTTAGTGGTACGGGTATAAGTAGAGTCGCGTCCCCAGAAGCGACTCACACGTTCCTTCTCGTTCGTTTTGTTTTGAAGGGCTGATGGTAGTGATCTGAGCTGACCTGCCGCAGCATAAATGAGGAATGTGCAGATTTGGTGGGGGTGGGAAATAAATACAACATATAAAAATAAAGGTTGTTATCTCTGCTCATCTCTCCTAAACTAAAATTATCTTGAAAATTAGATTCGCTAAAGCTCTGGAAAATGTTCTAGTAGATGTATACACATATTTTATTCAAAGCGTTCATAAAATATTTTTTAATTTTGCCACCTCTTTTCCCCACTGTAAATCAGGGGTCGGCACACAGACTCACACATTTTTTTGGTGCGTTTGTGTGCGAAAACAACAGACACAAATACGTTACTTATTTCTCTGCCGCTGCGAAAGCCGAAGAATTGTGCATAGGGCACACGAATGCTTCTCTGCCGCTGAGGCAAGCGGGCAGAATATGAAGCCGTTTGTGCATAGGCCGAAGCATGTTTCTCTGCCGCGACGTCAGCAGAGCAGAATAACGAAACTACACGAAGTCTTTACGCTGTACGTGTGCCGACTGCGCTGCCCGAAATTTTTTCCTATGCACAGTGCATACGACGCTGCCGACCTCTGTTTTAAAGTTTAAAACCAAAATCGACCTATTCAGGGCCAGATCAACCCTCAATATGGGGCCCTCTATTTTTTCTCGCCAGCTCCCTTCTTTTTTCATTTGAAATAAAAACTTATAAATTTTATGTTTGTTTGATTAATTTTTATGTTTATCAGTGGCTATTATATTTTTTATTCATTACTTGTAGTTTTGTTTTTTTCAACAAATTTTCCTTTTAGCCCTAGGGGAGCTAATCCGGCCCTGGACCTATTCCCGTCGTCAGACTTCATATTTTGTTGGTGTATTCTGTCGCTCGACTCGACGCGGGCCGAAGCATTGACGAAGCCGAAAGCAGAGGCAAAGACTAACCAAATGCTTCGGCTGCTCTATGTGGGACAAAGCGGCCTCAAAGCGGCCATTCAGGCCTCGGGCATGAATTTTTGGCATTTGTAAAGAGCTGGTCCTCTTGCTTGTTAAAAATTTGCACTGACAAGGTATTCATTGTTGAATGTTTGGAATGGAAGTGAAATTCTAAAATATTTTTTCAACTATATGTCACATACATATGTCAGGTCCTACTCTGATGATTTCAACCAGCACTTAAATCAAACATCAGATGCATCGTGGAGCAAAGCGAGGGAGACTATCATATTTTCTGGACCATGAGATACTAACATTGAAAAGTAATTTTCGACATCGAGCTGGGAGAACTGGTGATAAAAATACCAGTATCCCAGTTCGATGTCAACGTGATTATATTTTTTCAAAATTCTTATCAAATGATCCTGATCCCAGACCACCGGAAAGCCTCTATCAAATGCCGTGTGTAGGGCATGTTGATTAGCATCGTTGCCATCGGAAATGACGCCCAACAAGAGGTTATTCATTTTAAAGGCATGGATTTTATCCAGCACTTTTAAAATAGCGGCCTTCATGGTCCTCCTCCCCATCACCAATCCGACGGATCTGGGCTTCTAATAATTTAGGAGTAGATAATAGATATTGTTATACAAATGGTTAATGATTACTTACTACGACAACATACAAAAAACGGTTAAAATCGACATCGGCTGATTGTGCTGAAACGAAGTATATCATTTTATTTTAATTTTTTTATATATTAGATCTCTTTTCCACACCACCTAGAGGTAGAGATTTTGGCCGTTTTTTTTAAAGTGGTGTCCCCAAGAGGCCTAATCCACTGCTCCACCGTCAAATCCAACCCGCCTGAAAAATAAATTCATAATATATTCATTTATATTTATAGATATACACAAACTATTTACCTAATCAACCACATGGGCCATGTACCTCTCTAAATGGCCCGTTACGGTGGTTGACGCCTTTGAGCTGTCTTTTTGGGCGGGGGCGTTGGAGACCAGCATTTTCTTTTTTGTCCTAATAGCGGAGGCACATTGCCTTGCAGCTTTTTTAAGTTGGCCTTTACTAAGGCTAAGCAGCTGCGGCTGTTGTGTTGCCTTAGTCACAACCACCTGCTGTAAATGTCCGTCCGGTGCTGAAGAGAAGCAACAAAAGGATGTTAGATCTACAAAATAACTGTATAACTTAATCGCTACTTACCAGTTGTCATTGCCACTGTACGCTGCAGTTGTTGTGGCGGTGGCTTCGCTGGCGATACGCCCACCGGTCGCGGTGACATCTGTGGATGCGGTGACATGGTGGGCGGACGTGGCGACATTTGTGGCGATAGTTGGGGGAACGGCGCCCTGTACTGTGGCGAGGAGTTGAGCTGTGCCGCCGCCTGTTGATGCTTGCTCGAGGACATGTAGGGATGCGCAGCCTCGATTTAGTTTTAAATGACTTCTGATTCTTCGAAGAAATTTTATTAAATAAGTTGCGTTTTTACACGATTTTAATGTAAGTTAGTTAGAGAAAAAAAATTTTAGATAAAAAACACCGGCTGTTCAAGTTAAACAAAAGGAAAATGCGGAGCGCAAAACAAAAACACGTCTGGTCACTACGAAAGAGAACGATATTTATGTACATACCTTTCCAAGAAGAACTTGAAAATGTTTATGTCCGAGGAAGTTTTTGTTTGGTCCAGGGTTACTTCAAAGCTCAAAATCTTGTTGACCCTCTTCTTGACCGATGAGGGCATGACATGTATTATCATGCCCTCATCGTCGTTCGCCTCAGGATGGATATATATGTGCTTCATTTTTTTTAAAATTTGATAAAAAATCACAAAAAGGAAATTCAAACACGGTCCCGTTCGTTGCACCAAAAAAAAGCACTTGTCAAATCCTATTTCACTTTGTCATTACAGGACGGTTTTTTTTATACCAAACAAAAAAAAAAATACTTTTACTTTGGTCAGACTAGTTTCAGGATGGTTTTTGTCTTGGGAAAAAATAAAAGAAACGCATTCAAAATTTTTTCTAATATTGTGATTGTTTAGGCCTAAGAGCGCAAATTCACCACTCTTTGGCAACATCTTAGTTAAGGTTCATTTGTAAGAGTTGTAAGGAACATGAATTCAGATGGAAAATATAATTGAAGAAAAGAAGAGTTTTTATTCACCCCCAAAACAGTGATAAAATGGCTAAAATCAAATTATAGAGGCAATATATTATCGCTAAAAGACGAAAGAATATGTGAAATACTAATATGAAATATTGAAATAAAACATATCAGAAAATTAGATTCGCTAAAGCTCTGGAAAATGTTCTAGTAGATGTATACATTTATTTTATTCAAAGCGTTCATAAAATATTTTTTAATTTTGCCACCTCTTTTTCCCCACTGTAAATACACACAGTACAAACAAATAACAACTTTAAATTTTAAAGTTTAAAACCAAAATCGACCTATTCAGGGCCAGATCCACCCTCAACCGGGTCCTGGGCAACCATCAATATGGGGCCCTCCATTTTTTCTCGCCAGCTCCCTTCTTTTTTCATTTGAAATAAAAACTTATAAATTTTATGTTTGATTAATTTGTATGTTTATCAGTGGCTATTATATTTTTTATTCATTACTTGTAGTTTTGTTTTTTCAACAAATTTTCCTTTTAGCCCTAGGGGGCCTAATCCGGCCCTGGACCTATTCCCGTCGTCAGACTTCATATTTTGTTGGTGTATTCTGTCGCTCGACTCGACGCGGGCCGAAGCATTGACGAAGCCGAAAGCAGAGGCAAAGACTAGCCAAATGCTTCGGCCGCTCTATGTGGGACAAAGCGGCCTCAAAAACATGCGGGCATGAATTTTTGGCATTTGTAAAGAGCTGTCCTCTTGCTTGTTAAAAATTTGCACTGACAAGGTATTCATTGTTGAATGTTTGGAATGGAAGTGAAATTCTAAAATATTTTTTCAACTATATGTCACATACATATGTCAGGTCCTACTCTGATGATTTCAACCAGCACTTAAATCAAACATCAGATGCATCGTGGAGCAAAGCGAGGGAGACTATCATATTTTCTGGACCATGAGATACCTAACATTGAAAAGTAATTTTCGACATCGAGCTGGGAGAACTGGTGATAAAAATACCAGTATCCCAGTTCGATGTCAACGTGATTATATTTTTTCAAAATTCTTATCAAATGATCCTGATCCCAGACCACCGGAAAGCCTCTATCAAATGCCGTGTGTGGGCATGTTGATTAGCATCGTTGCCATCGGAAATGACGCCCAACAAGAGGTTATTCATTTTAAAGGCATGGATTTTATCCAGCACTTTTAAAATAGCGGCCTTCATGGTCCTCCTCCCCATCACCAATCCGACGGATCTGGGCTTCTAATAATTTAGGAGTAGATAATCGATATTGTTATACAAATGGTTAATGATTACTCTACCGACAACATACAAAAAACGGTTAAAATCGACATCGGCTGATTGTGCTGAAACGAAGTATATCATTTTATTTTAATTTTTTTATATATTAGATCTCTTTTCCACACCACCTAGAGGTAGAGATTTTGGCGCGTTTTTTTTAAAGTGGTGTCCCCAAGAGGCCTAATCCACTGCTCCACCGTCAAATCCAACCCGCCTGAAAAATAAATTCATAATATATTAATTTATATTTATAGATATACACAAACTATTTACCTAATCAACCACATGGGCCATGTACCTCTCTAAATGGCCCGTTACGGTGGTTGACGCCTTTGAGCTGTCTTTTTTGGGCGGGGGCGTTGGAGACCAGCATTTTCTTTTTTGTCCTAATAGCGGAGGCACATTGCCTTGCAGCTTTTTTAAGTTGGCCTTACTAAGGCTAAGCAGCTGCGGCTGTTGTGTTGCCTTAGTCACAACCACCTGCTGTAAATGTCCGTCCGGTGCTGAAGAGAAGCAACAAAAGGATGTTAGATCTACAAAATAACTGTATAACTTAATCGCTACTTACCAGTTGTCATTGCCACTGTACGCTGCAGTTGTTGTGGCGGTGGCTTCGCTGGCGATACGCCCACCGGTCGCGGTGACATCTGTGGATGCGGTGACATGGTGGGCGGACGTGGCGACATTTGTGGCGATAGTTGGGGGAACGGCGCCCTGTACTGTGGCGAGGAGTTGAGCTGTGCCGCCGCCTGTTGATGCTTGCTCGAGGACATGTAGGGATGCGCAGCCTCGATTTAGTTTTAAATGACTTCTGATTCTTCGAAGAAATTTTATTAAATAAGTTGCGTTTTTACACGATTTTAATGTAAGTTAGTTAGAGAAAAAAAATTTTAGATAAAAAACACCGGCTGTTCAAGTTAAACAAAAGGAAAATGCGGAGCGCAAAACAAAAACACGTCTGGTCACTACGAAAGAGAACGATATTTATGTACATACCTTTCCAAGAAGAACTTGAAAATGTTTATGTCCGAGGAAGTTTTTGTCTTTGGTCCAGGGTATACTTCAAAGCTCAAAATCTTGTTGACCCTCTTCTTGGGCACCGATGAGGGCATGACATGTATTATCATGCCCTCATCGTCGTTCGCCTCAGGATGGATATATATGTGCTTCATTTTTTTTAAAATTTGATAAAAAATCACAAAAAGGAAATTCAAACACGGTCCCGTTCGTTGCACCAAAAAAAAGCACTTGTCAAATCCTATTTCACTTTGTCATTACAGGACGGTTTTTTTTATACCAAAAAAAAAAAAATACTTTTACTTTGGTCAGACTAGTTTCAGGATGGTTTTTGTCTTGGGAAAAAATAAAAGAAACGCATTCAAAATTTTTTCTAATATTGTGATTGTTTAGGCCTAAGAGCGCAAATTCACCACTCTTTGGCAACATCTTAGTTAAGGTTCATTTGTAAGAGTTGTAAGGAACATGAATTCAGATGGAAAATATAATTGAAGAAAAGAAGAGTTTTTATTCACCCCCAAAACAGTGATAAAATGGCTAAAATCAAATTATAGAGGCTGTCGCGGGACGATAGTTTGTATCGATAGGTATTTTTAGTACATCTGGTATATTAAAATGGATGGATTTTGAGCCCTGGAATGAACGGGCATATTTTCGGCCACGATGAATTGCCGCCATATTTTAAGCTGCACTTTTGTATTGTCGCGTGGTTAGAGCAGGAGGAAATACTGCGGTAAGAATATTGTGGGACTTCTAAGAGGTTATGTGACCATCCTTTCTTATCTAGAATAAAACGGGCTTACGAGAAAACCTGCTTCTCTGGGAGTATATCGGCCGTTGAAGGCAACTCCGTGGGACCACCGACATGATCTTTTATTCGCAGTCCTAGGCAAGTCGACTGCAAGGGCAACTTGCGCTTGAGTACAGGCAGTCAGCCACCTCAAGTAAGAGAGTTGCCAGAGACGCGGACAGCGTAGATTGGACGGGCCGCAGACAGCGACCCAGAGTAGACGCAGACAGCGCCGATTAGCTGGAGTACTGGGCAGAATAGAAGGATGCAACATTCTCCCAGACGAAGTAGCCGGTTGAACGAGGAGCAAGCGACTCCAACAACAATGAGCGCGGCTTCCCAACCTGGAAGTAGTGGTGCAGGAAAGAAGCCGCCAAAGCCAAAAGTAACATCGGCGCCGCTGATTCCTAACCCGACCACTGCTGTTACCGTAGTAGCTTCCCAACCTGGAAGTATTACGACCACAGCTGGAGCTTCAGTACCAGGACAGGCCCAGCCACCTCCAACCCAAGATCTCTTGGAGAAAATTGCAGCGTTGGAGAAGGAGCTGGAAAGGGAAAGAGCCCGAAACAACGTGAACACTGCCACCGATACCGTAATATCGAGCGATGTCGGGGTGAGTAGTGCGGCGTCACTGCTGACGCCATCTTGGAGCGATACGCCATTTTCGATTAGTAGCGATCCGATCCCATATAACGGAGTCGGTGCGAGCAGTGCAGCCTGTATGGAACCACCATCATGTAGCGGACCATCGCTGCTTATGAGCAGCAGCTATTTTACGCCATTTTGTGCAACCAGCACCGCCCAGACAGCGCGTGGAGTTGTGCCGCCGGGTATAGGGATCCATAACGTCATAACGCCGACTTCACTAGCGGGGTCCTACGCCTGGACGACACCGAATGGAAGCAGTGGAAACTATATGCCACGCAAGCTTCCAGATCTGCCAGTATTTGGAGGTCAACCAGAAGATTGGCCGATCTTTCTTTGTGCGTTTACGGAAACCACTCACGCGTATAATTGTACTGATCTGGAGAATAACCAACGCTTATTGAAGGCGCTGAAGGATGAAGCTCGTGAGACCGTCAAGTCGCTCCTGATTCATCCAAGTAACGTCAGCGCTGTGATCGAGCAGCTGCGCTTTAGGTATGGCCGACCGGAGCAACTTATACGCAGCCAGCTAAATGGAATTCGAGACGTGCCTTCCATTTCGGAGCACAACCTGGCGAAGATTGTACCCTTCGCAACCCGTGTGAGCAATCTCACTGCCTTCTTGCAGTCAGCGAAGGCAGATCAGCATTTGGGGAACCCAACCCTCATGGAAGACCTTGTGGCCAAGCTCCCTACAAGCAAACGAGTGGAGTGGGCAAGGCATGCCGCTTTAATATTACCCTTTCCAACCATTGTCCATTTTAGTTCGTGGTTGACGGAGTACGCCAACGTGGTATGTACGATCATGGATGTCGAAGGGAAAGAACCAAGGCGTCGTTTGCTGCATGCAAGCATCGACCAAGACCGAGGCGAGCATCAAGACAGTCGATTCAGATGTTGTCCAATATGTGGAGGACAACATGCAGTTAAGGACTGCAGTGATTTCAACGGAGCTACGCCACCAGACAGGTGGAGGCATGTGAGGAGGCATCGACTTTGTTTTTCGTGCCTACGAAGTGGTCACATGACTAGTTCCTGCAACAAGCATGGTGAGTGTCAACTCAACGGATGTCGGAAGAGGCATCACCGTCTGCTGCATGGTGTGGATGACCAGCGAAGAAGGTCACCGCAACGAAGCAGTAACAGAAGTTACAGCCAGCGGAACCAGCAGTCAGCTGTTCCTAGACGTAGCCTGGACAGAGGGGCGCCACAGGCAGTGGATGCGCCAGTACAGAGCAGAGGGGCGCCGCAGGCAGCGGAAGGGCCCGTACAGAGGATTTTAAGTTGTGTCGACGCAGAGCGAGGTCGCCTGCTGTTCCGTATACTGCCAGTAACGCTGTATGGAGCTGGTCGACGGGTGGATACATACGCACTCCTGGATGAAGGATCATCTGTCACGATGATCGACGACGAACTCAGGAAGGAGCTGGGCGTGCAAGGTGAGCGTCGACATCTTAATATCCAGTGGTTTGGCGGTAGATCCACCAGGGAACCTACCAACGTGGTAAGTCTGCAAATCAGTGGAGCAGGCAAGCCAATTCGCCATGCGTTGCGAAACGTGTATTCCGTTTCGAACCTGAGCCTGCCGATGCAGACTCTACACCGACGAGATGTCCAGGGCGTGCACAAGGATGCCCGCCTGCCAATGAGGCCCTACAGCAATGTGGTGCCGAAACTGCTCATTGGACTGGATCACGGACACTCGGGACTTCCACTTCGAACGAGACGGTTTGCCAGACAGGGACCATATGCGGCCGCAACCGAGCTGGGCTGGGTTGTCTTTGGGCCGACAAGTGGACAATCAACTACGCCGAGGTCCTGCTTCCTAGCTGTTTCATTGGATGACACTATTCAGAGAATGGTGGAAGACTATTTTGATGTTGAGAACTTTGGTGTGAAGCTTGCGCCACCAGTCGCCGGCAGCGACGACGTGCGGGCGCAGAAGACATTGGAAGATACCACGGTGAGAGTGGGGCAACGTTACCAGACAGGTTTATTATGGAAGGATGACTACATTGTGCTTCCACAAAGCTATGACATGGCGTACAAGCGGTTGGTCAACGTCGAGAAGAAGATGAAGCGCAACGGGCAGTTCGCGCAGGAATACACTAGGATCATCAATGATTACGTGTCTAAAGGATACGCTCGACGGTTGAAGCCTCATGAGGTCGCAGTGGAAAGTGGCAGGCTATGGTATCTGCCACACTTTGGAGTAGAAAACCCAAACAAGCCGGGAAAGATTAGGCTGGTTTTCGACGCTGCGGCAAGAGTTGGTGGAACATCACTAAATTCGGCACTGGCCAAAGGGCCGCAACATTATAAACCCTTGCCAGCTGTGCTCTTTCATTTTAGAGAAGGTGCCATCGGAGTCTGTGGCGACATCAAGGAGATGTTCCACCAAGTTTTGATCCGACCCGAAGATAGATGCTCCCAACGCTTTTTGTGGAGAGATGGAGATGACAGAAGGGATCCTGACATCTACGAGATGATTGTAATGACCTTTGGAGCAGCCTGCTCGCCAAGCGCTGCGCATTACGTGAAAACTGTAAATGCTGAACAGTTTCGTCATTCGGATCCAAGAGCAGTCAAGGCCATCATCGATTGTCATTATGTGGATGACTATGTGGACAGCTTTGCTACCGAGAGCGAAGCCATCAGTGTATCTACCCGAGTAAAGGAGATACATGCGAACGCTGGATTCGAGCTATGCCAATTTTCATCCAGCTCACCCATTGTGGAGGCTGCATTGGGTCCACCAGGACGAGGCGAGAGCGTCGGATGGGGTGAGGCTGAACAGAAGATTCTGGGAATGTGTTGGCAAGCAGCCACAGATGACTTCAGGTTCAATGTGAAGTATCATCGAGTTCCAAGCAGCGTATTGAACGGCGATCGAGTCCCTACCAAGAGGGAGTATTTGAGCTTGGTCATGTCTACGTTCGATCCCCTGGGATTCTTGTGCTGCCTCATGATAACAGCCAAGTTATTGCTACGAGAGATTTGGAGGCAGACGATCCAGTGGGATGAACCACTTCCGGATGAGATATACAGAGCCTTTGTGAATTGGCGCAAGGAAATGAACACCGTGGGACAGTTCAGAGGCCCTCGCCATTATTTCGGGAATGGACTCGTCCGAGCTATAGAGATGCACGTCTTCGTGGATGCAAGTCAGTCTGCATTTGCGGCTGTGGCCTACTGGAGGGTCACTTATGAAGATGATAACGTGCTGGTGAGCTTCGTATGTGCCAAGACGAAGTGCGCGCCCATGAGAACAATGTCAATCCCACGGCTGGAGCTGCAGGCAGCAGTTCTTGGAACTAGGCTGATGGACACTGTTAAAAAGGAACACAGTGTGGCCATCAGTGACATCGTGTTATGGACCGATTCCAAGACGGTGCTAAGATGGATTGGTAGCACCCACCGCCGATATAAGCAGTTTGTCGGCAATCGTGTGGCGGAGATCTTGGAGTCGACGAAGGTATCCCAATGGAGATGGGTGCCAACAGCCGACAATGCGGCGGATGACGCAACACGTTCGCAATGCCACGTGGACCTCAGCCAGAAGTCACGTTGGCTAGGCGGACCAGCATTTTTGAGGCAGCCAGCGGGCAGCTGGCCACAGCCTGAATCTGGAACTGAACCAGGTCCGGATGGTAATGACGAAGAGGAGATGCCAAGTGAGTTTTCGCTTGTTGGTGCGAACGACTTTTGTATTTCCTTTCAGAGATTCTCGAGCTACAGTAGGCTACTCAGGACAACAGCCTGGGTCTTAAGGTTCACGCGCTGGTGCCGTGGACAAAGGAGCGAGCTCGAGAAGTACGGCCTTACTGCATCAGAGTGTGAGGCCGCGGAGAACCTGTTGGTCAGACAGGCACAACGTGAAGCGTTTCCAAACGAGATGCGGTCGGCAGAAGACGGCAAGATGGTTGCCGGCGGGGGCGACACTCGAGGACTGTCACCCTACATAGATGACCTTGGAGTTCTGCGAGCCTATGGCAGAGTTGATGCCGCATTTTGCATGCCGTACAGTGCGAGGAGGCCGATAATTCTGTCACACAGGCACAGTCTTACGGAGATGATTGTGCATCATTTCCACGTCAAGATGAAGCACCAAAATGTGGATGCTACGATTACGGAGATCCGGACGAGGTTCTGGATTACGAAGCTGAGACGTGTACTACAAAGGGTGATCTCAGCATGCAACGTGTGCAAGTTGCATAGGGCGCGGCCAACGCCGCCAATAATGGGACCCCTGCCGGAAGATCGCTTGGAGGCCCATGGTTGGCCGTTCAAGAATACAGGACTGGATTACTTCGGACCACTGTTGGTGACGGTGGCGCGTCACAAGGAGAAGCGATGGGTCGCCCTGTTCACTTGCTTGACGACCAGGGCGATTCATCTGGAACTGGCGTATGACCTGTCGACGGATTCCTGTATAATTGCGATACGGAATTTCGTCTGTCGTCGAGGGCCAGTACATAGACTACGCAGCGACAACGGCAAGAACTTCGTGGGAGCTGACAGGGAGGCCAGACGATTTGGTGACGTTTTCGAAATGGAGAGAGTCCAGGATGAGCTGTCGAGCAGAGGTATCGAATGGGTATTCAATTGCCCAGTGAATCCATCTGAAGGAGGAGTCTGGGAACGCATGGTGCAGTGCGTCAAGAGAGGTCCTGCGCCACACATTAAAAGAGGTGGCACCGAGGGATCATGTACTGGTGAGTTTCCTGATCGAGGCGGAGAACATCGTGAATTCGCGTCCGCTTACCCACTTGCCGGTGGAGGCGGACCAGGAAGCCCCGCTAACGCCAAATGATCTGCTCAGAGGAGTAGCTAACTTGCCGGACACGCCTGGCGAAGATGTGGAGCTGCCCAAGGAGTGCGCTACACGCAAGCAGTGGCGTATAGCGCGACTAATGAGGGACCGTTTCTGGAAGAGGTGGGTCTTGGAGTACCTGCCTACACTCGTGCGCCGAGAGAAGTGGTGCCAAAGGACGGAGCCGATTCGCCAGGGTGACGTGGTCTTCATCTGCGATCCAGCCTTGCCGCGAAGAGAGTGGCGTAAGGGCATCGTGGAGGAGGTCTACAAAGGAGTTGATGGAGTCATTAGACGCGCTAGTGTGCGCGTGAACGACTGCGGCCTATCCAGGATTATGATGCGTCCCGTCTCCAAACTGGCGGTTTTGGATTTGAGTGAAGCGGTTCTTCACGGGGTCGGGGATGTCGCGGGACGATAGTTTGTATCGATAGGTATTTTTAGTACATCTGGTATATTAAAATGGATGGATTTTGAGCCCTGGAATGAACGGGCATATTTTCGGCCACGATGAATTGCCGCCATATTTTAAGCTGCACTTTTGTATTGTCGCGTGGTTAGAGCAGGAGGAAATACTGCGGTAAGAATATTGTGGGACTTCTAAGAGGTTATGTGACCATCCTTTCTTATCTAGAATAAAACGGGCTTACGAGAAAACCTGCTTCTCTGGGAGTATATCGGCCGTTGAAGGCAACTCCGTGGGACCACCGACAGAGGCAATATATTATCGCTAAAAGACGAAAGAATATGTGAAATACTAATATGAAATATTGAAATAAAACATATCAGAAAATTAGATTCGCTAAAGCTCTGGAAAATGTTCTAGTAGATGTATACATTTATTTTATTCAAAGCGTTCATAAAATATTTTTTAATTTTGCCACCTCTTTTCCCCACTGTAAATACACACAGTACAAACAAATAACAACTTTAAATTTTAAAGTTTAAAACCAAAATCGACCTATTCAGGGCCAGATCCACCCTCAACCGGGTCCTGGGCAACCATCAATATGGGGCCCTCCATTTGCCGAAGCCAATGCCGAAGCATTGACGAAGCCGAAAGCAGAGGCAAAGACTAGCCAAATGCTTCGGCCGCTCTATGTGGGACAAAGCGGCCTCAAAAACATGCGGGCATGAATTTTTGGCATTTGTAAAGAGCTGGTCCTTGCTTGTTAAAAATTTGAATGTTTGGAATGGAAGTGAAATTCTAATATATTGAATATATCAAACATATGTCATATAGATATGTCATGATTCTCTGTCTCTGATGATTGCAACCCTACTCTAATGATTGCCACCAACCATCTCAGTATATTGGCCCATTGTAATAGATAAAAACTCTAATATTTTCACAATGAAACTGAAACGAAATCTATCATTTTATTTTAATTTAAAATATCTGAAATCTCTTTTCCACACCACCTAGAGGTAGAGATTTTGGCGCGTTTTTTTTTAGTGGGGTCCCCAAGAAGCCTAATCCACTGTTCCAACCGTCAAATCCAATCCGCCTGAAAAATAAATTCATAATATATTTATTTATATTTATAGATGTTTATATATACACAAATTATTTACCTAATCAACTACATCGGCCATGTACCTCTCTAAATGGCCCGTTACGGTTGTTGATGCCTTTGAGGAGTCTTTTTTGGGCGGGGGCGTTGGAGACCAACATTTTCGTTTTTTGCCCAAAAGTTTTCTTGCGTCATTGCCATTGCCTTGGACTTCAAGTTTTTTCAAGTTTGGGTGCTGCTGCATTCTGCTGGTGGCCCATCATCCGGAGTGCACCGGCAACAGACGGAGTCTGCAGCAATTGCTCCTGTTGCTGTTGTGTTGCCCCAGTCACAACCACCTGCAAATGGCCATCCGGAGCTGAAGAGAAGCAACAAAAGGATGTTAGATTTACAATCGAATATTGGCTGTGAAATACCTCATAGTGGTGGTGGTGGTGCTGTTGGGCAATCAGCAATCTCCTCCTCGTCCAAGCAAGGAACGGGCGATGCTCCAGCCTCCTGCTTGTTGGGTGGCTTGTACAGCTGCTGAGAAAGAAGCGTGGAACGACCGCTGGGGACAATACAAATTTTATTGTATTATTATTATTTATTATATGCTTTTCAAGCATAATATACAAACCTGTCCAAAAAGAACTTATAAATTTATATTTCAGAGGAGGTGGTGGTCGTGGAGCCTGTATAAACCTCGAAACTTATAATTTTGTTTACAGTTTTCTTAGGCACCGATGAGGGCATGACATGTATTATCATGTCCTCATCGTCCTCCGACTCGGTGTATATATAAATATGCTTCATATTATAAAAAAAACCAAAAACTCTTGTTCGCTTTGTCACTACACCGTTTTGTCATTGTAGCACCGTTTTACACAAAAAAAAAACGAGAAGGAACGTGTGAGTCGCTTCTGGGGACGCTACTCTACTTATAACCGTACTCAATCAGTATATACATTTTTGAGCTTATGATTTTTTAGAATTTTAGAATAAAAAAAAAATGTTACATTTTACATTTTTTTGCTACATCTGTTATCTACATATACAATGTATATTCTACACGCTAAAGCTCTGGAAAATGTTCTAGTAGATGTATACATTTATTTTATTCAAAGCGTTCATAAAATATTTTTTAATTTTGCCACCTCTTTTCCCCACTGTAAATACACACAGTACAAACAAATAACAACTTTAAATTTTAAAGTTTAAAACCAAAATCGACCTATTCAGGGCCAGATCAACCCTCAACCGGGTCCTGGGCAACCATCAATATGGGGCCCTCCATTTTTTCTCTCCAGCTCCCTTCTTTTTTCATTTGAAATAAAAACCTATAAATTTTATGTTTGTTTGATAAATTTGTATGTTTATCAGTGGCTATTATATTTTTTATTCATTACTTGTAGTTTTGTTTTTTCAGCAATTTTTCCTTTTAGCCATAGGGGGGCTAATCCGGCCCTGGACCTATTCCCGTCGTCAGACTTCATATTTTGTTGGTGTATTCTGTCGCTCGACTCGACGCGGGCCGAAGCATTGACGAAGCCGAAAGCCAAATGCTTCGGCCGCTCTATGTGGGACAAAACGGCCTCAAAAACATGTGGGCATGAATTTTTGGCATTTGTAAAGAGCTGGTCCTCTTGCTTGTTAAAAATTTGCACTGACAAGGTATTCATTGTTGAATGTTTGGAATGGAAGTGAAATTCTAAAATATTTTTCCTACTCTGATGATTTCAACCAGCACTTAAATCAAACATCAGATGCATCGTGGAGCAAAGCGAGGGAGACTATCATATTTTCTGTAGCAAATGGTTGTATGATGTCAATCAATATGTTTTTATACCTGAATTTGGTCATTGGATCAGTTTTATGATGTATCGGCGCAACACCATGCAACAAAAAACCAGCCGTCTGCAGACTTTATGAAACTGCTGCCCCTTATCCCTTATTAGATAAAAACTCTAATATTTTCACAATGAAATTGAAACGAAGTATATCATTTTATTTTAATTTAACATATCTTAAATCTCCTTTCCACACCACCTAGAGGTAGAGATTTTGGCGCGTTTTTTTTAAAGTGGTGTCCCCAAGAGGCCTAATCCACTGCTCCACCGTCAAATCCAACCCGCCTGAAAAATAAATTCATAATATATTAATTTATATTTATAGATATACACAAACTATTTACCTAATCAACCACATGGGGCATGTACCTCTCTAAATGGCCCGTTACGGTGGTTGACGCCTTTAAGCTGTCTTTTTTGGGCGGGGGCGTTGGAGACCAGCATTTTCTTTTCTTTCCTAATAGCGTAGGCACATTGCCTTCTAATTTATTTAAATTTGTTCTGCTGAGGCAAAGCACCTGCGGCTGTTTCGCGTCACTGACAACCACCTGCTGTAAATGACCGTCAGGTGCTGAAGAGAAGCAACAAAAGGATGTTAGATCTACAAAATAACTGTATAACTTAATCGCTACTTACCAGTTGTCATTACCACTGTACGCGTCTGTTGTTGTTGCTGCAGTTGTTGTTGTACCTGCTGTATGTTGGTCTGATCCCGCAGCGTGATGGCATCCGTGCCGATGCCCGAGTCGGGACTGGGCAGATCGACGGTGAGTCCCGCCGCCGTGATGGCCTTGGCATAGAGTGGCGTGCCGCTGCCCTTGCCGTCCTGCGGGTGGTGGTGTTGCTGCTGCTGCAGTTGTTTTTGCTGCAGTTGTTGCTGCAGTTGTTGTTGCTGCAGTTGTTGCTGCAGTTGTTGCTGCAGTTGTTGCTGCAGTTGTTTTTGCTGCTGCTGCTCTTTGTATTCAGCAGCCGCTGCCTCCGCAGCAATGGTAGCTGGCTTCTTTTTCCTGCCACGCTTTACCGATGCCACAGGAGCCTTGGCCGGCGGTGCCAACGGCCGGAAGCCTAGGGCTGCTGAAAATACTCATATTTTGGTGGTGGTGGTGTGGGTGCTTTTAACTCCTCGTCGACGCAAGCCTCCTGCTGGACAACCACATTTTTGGATGGTGGTGGTGTTGTTTGGTCCTCGGGTCCACGCTTTACCGGTGCCACACGAGCCTTGGCCGGCGGTGGTGGTGGTGTGGGTGCTTTTAACTCCTCGTCGACGCAAGCCTCCTGCTTCTCTGCTTGCTGCTGAGAACGACCGCTGGGGACAATAAAAATTGTATTATATTATATTTCAAGTATACAGTTGTGTTCAATGAAATAGTAGTGCCGGTTTTCTAATGCTAACAGTCCAGTCTATTTGTTCAATTTGGATACAAGTGTACATACCTTTCCAAGAAGAACTTGAAAATTTTGATGTCTGAGGAAGTTTTGGTCTTACATCCAGGGTAGACTTCGAAGCTTAGAATACTGTTCACCCTCTTCTTGGGCACCGATGAGGGCATGACATGTATTATCACCTCATCGTCCTCCGCCTCCGTATGTATGTATATATGTATGCTTCATATTTCAGAAAATCACAAAACACAAAAAAAAATCGAAACACTTGCTCCCGTTGCACCAAAAAAAAGCACTTGTCAAATCCTATTTCGCTTTGTCGCAGCACCTTTTTTTTGTATACCAAAAAAAAAAATACTTTTCACTTTGGTCAGACTAGTTTCAGGATGGTTTTTGTCTTGGGGAAAAATAATAGAAACGCATTCAAATTTTGTTCTTATATTGTGATAAAACGGCTAAAATCAAATTATAGAGGCAATATATTATCGTGCAGATGCTCCAATTGCGTCTCCGCCGCACCCAAATCCTCTCTTAGTATCAGGCACTCGGCGCGGCACTCCTTGTACTTGGCACCCAAAATCTCTACCTCTAGGTGTGTGGAAAAGAGATTTCAGAGAATATTGAATCAATATATTAGAATTTCACTTCCATTCCAAACATTCAATTCATTCCAAGAAAATGAGACATTGGATGGA